TTTAGTGTTTTGTTTAAAAAGTCGTTAAGATAAATAATGGTTATAGCTTAACAGCGCAAGTGGCACCAAAAGACAATATTGATTGCGCGAGGACGAGGATAACCTCAACAGACTCGAATTACTGATAGAGATTCCCTTAAACATCGACAATCCTGAAACGAACTGGGCTCAGTTAATTTTACAACCGATTCCAGTGTCAAGTAGCCTAGCTAAATCTGTCCATTAAATAAGACTCTTGAAAAGCTACATGAAAGATAAATGTTTTTGTTCTGCACATTGCAAACTTATGCAGGCTAATCAATAATAATAATAGTTGAATTATTATGGCACTCAAACAAACTTGTTTTAAAACACAGCCTAGGCTATTTGAATAGATTCAAACTGTAACATAATGGTTTACCTTGAAGTATTATGTATCCAACAACACCGTCCAGGTTGATGTTTCTGCCCTGCATATCAAAGTATGTGATTCCCTTGGATAAACTCATAAGTATGTTATCAATCACATCCTGGTTTGATAAATCAATTGTAGACGAGAGAAGGATAAGTACGAGGAAAGGAAACCACATTTTAAGAGCTTTAAGAATATAGAAAAACAAACGGGGCAAATCGTTAATGGAGTAGGCTATTCTATCCAGTAGCTTTTTTCCTTATTTCAAAGGCGAAGCTGTTTGACAAAGCAAATCCATCACGTGACTCAGGTCCCCTGAAACCGTGGGGTGCCTCGAATAATTGCTTTTTGCTTAAAAACACTTCTTTCTTTCTTTCTTTCTTTCTTTCTTTCTTTCTTTCTTTCTTTCTTTCTTTCTTTCTTTCTTTCTTTCTTTCTTTCTTTCTTTCTTTCTTTCTTTAAGGTTTTAAGGTTCTCTGTTTGTATAGGCATCTTTCTTGACGATAACATTGACAAAAAAAATCTGGAATAATAATAGGCTAACAATAATTGCAAGCCGCACATATAATATTTTAGTAATAATAGTTAATATTATGTTTTACCTGCGACCAGTTATTTTTGGTAGGCTATAAATAAATGACAATTTAATAGGGGTGGAATTATAAAATGTGTTTTACTAATGTAACTAAATAAAATGTATTAAGTTCAACTACATGTGTTAAGTAGAAGTAACAATTAAATAGGGGTGGAATTACACATTTTTTATACCAAGGTAACTAAATAAAATAGATTAAGTTCAACTAAATTCAAGTTCAACTTGTAGAGAATCAATTGATTGCAACCACTTACCATAATTTTTTTTATTAATTTCAACGAATCATTTTTTAAGCTTTTTTTCACACCTTTTTTAAGCTTAAAAAGTAAATATTAGAAACACGTTTACTAATGGTTTAGTGTGTCTAATATTTACCTTTTTTTCTGTTGTACATATGTAAATAATGTCGCTCGTAAAGCATCTAAAGGTTTGCACTAGTTTCGTTATACAATGCGTCGTGTGCAATGATAATAAAAGCATGTATACAGTGAATTGTGACATTCAAAATTATTCAAATTAAATGTTTGCTTAATTCATTTGTTGTCAGGAACTGTATACTTTTAGCGATTATTAACATCAAAATGTACGAACGACATGAATGACATGCTGTTTAAGAATGTTAATCATAGAGATGTTAATGCAATTATAGCCTAGGTGTATTCGCTGTGGTTCGTGTCTCTTTAAATTTCATGTCCTACTTTAAGCCACGTCATAATCAGGAAAACACAATGGCGGATGCCAATGCGGCAGTAGCTGTGGTGACAGTTTCATTGGTTCTTTTAGGACTTTTATCGGGGTTAAGCTTATCGTGGGCTCTTCTACCGGTCGCTGTAGTGGTGCTTATTTTTGTACTAGCCAGTGGATTAAGGGGACGAGATGAACTTGCACATTTGAACGTTTGCGTGTTGGTGCTGGGAGATATAGGGCGCAGTCCTCGCATGCAGTATCATGCGCTCTCTCTCAGCAGACATGGATACAGTGTCACCCTAATTGGCTTTCTTGGTATACATTTTAACGCATGAACTTCTCATTGCATCATTTTTTGCTTTTATGCATGATACCAAATGCCCATAAATGTAGCCCCCATGTCTGTAAGGCATGCTAATAAACGACAAATCACGTATATGCATTACACAGGTCACAGTGCTAGTTTTTAGCACCTCTAACACTGACATTTTGCTCACATAGGTACTAAACCTCATCAAGACATTCTTGAGGATGATAGGATAGACATACTTCCTATTTCAGAACTAATGGGGCTTAGAGGTAATACAAACTTAATATAAAGAATACTTACAAGCACAACAGACCACGGACAGTCGTTCTGATATAAAGAATAATCTTCATTTTCCTTTCAGTTGGCCCCAAAATGTTCAGGTATGTTTCAAAGGTTATATTCCAGTCTTTTCAGCTGTTCTATGTATTGATGAAGATTGAGGACCAAGGCTATATCCTTATGCAGGTGTTTGTCTCTTTTATCAAGTAAAGTAATTTTGATATCTGATGATGTCTTAAAGTGAAATTCTAAGTCACATCTGTACATTCCATAGAACCCTCCAGGACTGCCAGCTATAGCAGTGGCATGGGTGGCCAGTCGTTTCAGGGGAAACCAGTTCATCATAGACTGGCACAACTATGGATACACCATAATGGCTCTTACTCATGGGGAGAATCATCTAATTGTTAAGGTGGCAAAATGGTAAGTAACACTTGAAAAATATCTCTTAAGGACACTGTTTTAAGTGGTATTTGGAAAATGTCTGAAGTTGAACTGTGCTTTGTGTTATTGGCAGGTATGAGAAACTCTTTGGATGTTTCTCAGATAATAACTTATGTGTCACTAACGCAATGAGGGAAGATCTTCGGAAGAACTGGAATATTGAGTATGTTTAATGTAAATTATTTATTATACATTTTTTATTATATCAAATAATATTAATAGTAATAATAATAATAATATTAAAACTTTAATTTCTTAACAATACAAGCCAGTGTATTAATCTTGCAATTGTAGGGCAACCACATTATATGACAAGCCACCCTCGATATTCAGAGAAACACCTCTGAAACTTCAACATGAACTGTTTGTCAGAATGAGCAGTGTTTATTCACCATTTAGGCCTAGGTAAGTATTTTCATGTTGAGCCATTTGCTCTTATTCCATTAAGTCGCACAAATAGTAGGTAATACCAGTCAGCTCTGTTGCCATTTAGGTTTTTGTCATTTTATTAGTGCTTTACATGTTCCTCTTTATAACTTCTTAGTTCTGATGTCACTAAGGAGCACATGGAACTGACAGCCTTCACAGAGCGAAACACTCAAACAGGTGCTGTGACGCGCTCTGCTGGACGACCTGCTCTGCTTATCAGCAGCACCAGCTGGACGGGTCAGTGCCGTCTACACTGAGCTATAGGGTTGTTGTCCTTCGTTCGCTTAATTGAAATGTCCTAACTCTTCATTATTTATGTTCTCTAACAGAGGATGAAGACTTCTCAATTCTTTTACAAGCCCTTCAAGGTTATTATTATTTTTTATCTCTCCATATACACTACTGTTCAAAAGTTTGAAGTTAGTAAAATGTTTAATTAATATGTTTATTCAGCAAGGATGCAATAAAATAAAAGAAAAAAGAAAATCCAAATAAATGGTGTTCTTTTGAACTTTCTATTAATCAAAGAATCTAAAAAAGTGTATTACAGTTTCCACAAAAAATAAATAAAAAATATTAAGCAGCACTGTTTTCAACATTAATAAGAAAAAGCAAATCAGGATCACGTGACACTGAAAGATTCAGCTTTGCCACCACAATTGCATTTAAAAAAATATATTAAAATAGAAGTTATTTTAAATTCTAATATAAATAATATTTTACAATATTAGTGTTTTTACTATATTTTAAAACCTACTAGACTATGTAATCTCCAACATCTGATTTCTTTCCATCTCCAATAGAGTACGAGAAGTTTGTTGAGGAAGAGAACAAACTTCCATCATTGGTCTGCGTGATTACAGGTACACAACACTGAGTCTAATATGTATAAATGTTCAGCCTGTTTGTATGTTTCAAACACTTTTTGTCAATACAGGTAAAGGTCCTCAGAAGGAGTATTACAAGAAGCTGATTGACTCTAAAGAATTTCAACATGTCAAGATTTGCACTCCATGGCTAGAAGCAGAGGATTATCCAGTTTTACTTGGTACGAGGAACTCATTAACAACCATATAAAGTTCATAGGCCAGGCTTTCACATTTTGCTGACTTCTGGTTGTTTTGGCTTAAAATAGACGCATTTACATAAGCGTGCTGTTCTCTGATGTTTTACGGCACAGGTTCTGCTGATCTTGGGGTCTGCTTGCACAAATCCTCCAGTGGTCTTGACCTTCCGATGAAAGTGGTTGACATGTTTGGATGTTGTCTGCCAGTCTGTGCCATACACTTTCAGTGGTACGATTGTGAGATCTGTAATGCTAACATATGTTAGGTGTCATGCAGGGAACAATTACATCTGCTCATTATCTGTTTCTTGTTAGCTTGCATGAGTTGGTGAAACACGAGGAGAATGGGCTCATTTTCAAAGACTCCAATGAGCTGTCTCAACAGTTAAAGGCAAGACATTCAAGATCAAGACTTTCTCTTCAATATCTTGTGATAAATGCTCACGGCTAATTCTGGTATCTATGTAGCTTCTGTTTTCAGACTTCCCTGGTGATCAGGGGAAACTGGGCATCTTCAGGAAGAATCTAAAGGAAAGTGGGCAGCAGCGCTGGAATGAGAATTGGGACCAAAACGTCCTTCCGCTTATTAAAGAGCACTGCGATTGACCATCTAGGTGATGGGCTCATGTAGCATCCTCTCAAATCCTTTGACTCCCATTCTATGGAAAGTTACTGTCAGGTATTTGCACAGGGTACATATTTTTAAGCTAACTGTCCCCACAATGGGACAATCAGGATTGCAGCAATGCTACTGGGAAAGACTTGAATATGAGATTAAAAAGCACACTTTCCTTGTAAATAATATGTAAATAAACACTTTATTACAAAGAGATCGTTTTTGTCATACATATATTTTGATCATTTCTATAGTGGAGGCTCGGTTGTATGGAAATACTTGAGCAACAGAATCCTTCATGATGACATGTCTCAGTCCAGCCCTTTCTGTAAATAAATGTTTCATTTATTATGAAGAATCAGGAATAATGAAAATGTTTTAAACCAATAGTGTAATGGAATAGAAAAGTATTAATAGTATGAAACCTACCCAATTCTTCCTTGAAACAGTCATACGTCTGTGGGTTACGTACAGTGGATGCAATGTAAACATCAGGATGGTTTTCTTGAACTTTGCAGTTTAGAAGCCTGCTCAGCAGCTTCACCAAACAAGCATTTGTCTCAGGATCGTACACCACATCTGGTTCAAACAAACAGAGCAATGTTACTGAAGACTTCTCAGACATTATGTGTTATTCAGAGACCTTCTAATCATTAAATGAGAATAAATCACATTTGAAACTATAATGCGTGCCCTGTAATTTTGAAAATATCTTCTGGGTTTTGTGTTACCTGCAGCAATGATGGTGTTGGCCTGTATTCTTTGCAGCTGTTCATCAGACACATTTTCCCAGTGCAATTCCTCCACGCTCGCTGATGCACTGTTGCTGTCAGAGTTAGTTAAGCAGTTTGTGATATTGTCCTTCAGCCTCTGAAGCACAGTTTGATGGCAGTCGCTGAAGATATATTTGGTTAGGCTGGATGACCGACATACTACAATGCCCGTAAGTCCAATTCCACTGCCCAGCTCTAGCACTGTCCTGCATGTACAGGCCAAATGTAAATTTATGGCAGCATAAATGTAATAATTTAAACAATCAACAAAATAGAGAAAGTCACTTCACTTTATTCAGACCTTTGACCTTTGTAGCTTGTCACTCTGTTCTTGTTTCCCATACGCTACTGTTCAAAACTCTGCGGTCGGTAAGGTTTTTTTTTTTAATGTTTTTGAAAGAAATCTTGTGCTCGCCAAGGATGCGCTTAATTGTGAAATCTTATTAACAAATTAAAATAGCAGTTTTCTATTTTAAAATAGTTTAATTTATTCCTGTGACACCAAAGCTGAATTTTCAGCATCATTACTCCAGTCTTCAGTGTCACATGATAATTCAGAAATCATTCTAATATGCTGTTTTGATTTCTTACTATCAATGTTGAACACAGTTGTGCTGCCTAATGTTTTTTTGTGTGGACACCATGATACATTTTTTTAAAGATTCTTTGAATATAATGTTCAAAAGAACAGCATTCATTGTAAATACATTTAGTAGCTATGTAAATAGTCACTTTTGATCAATTTAATGTATCCATTCTGATCCCAAACCTTTTGAACAGTAGTGCATATTAAATACAATTTTAAATGACTAATTATATTATCAATTTAAGTGCCTTAAGATTATTAGTATTTTTGTACTTAGAGCAATAGTATTTCTAATTCATTTTATGACATTTCTTTTTTCCCCTCAAAACTCTAAAATATTACATAAACGTTAAATGGCGGTAATCCCAGATTTTCAGTGTTGTCTCAGATTTTTGGATATATATCCACTGTATAACATAAAATTGTATAATATAAAGAAACAACAAATGTAATCAACCAGAGAGTTGTGAAGTGTCAGACTTGCTTGCTTTTGAAGATGTGTGTATTTTCCAGAGCCCATTCAGCCAGGTACAGGGCAGCCTCCCAGGTAACCAGACCTGTGGTGCCCTGAGCGATGAGGGCCACGTTCTCTGCTAGACTAACCGCATCACCTGTTGGCTTTTGAGATCGAACACTTTCTGATATCGTATTCTGTTATAGGAATAAGGTCCAGTTCTAATATGATCTAACTTACCAGAAAGTAGGTTTTGTAGCATACGTCCTCCTCCTGAGCACACATGAGCTCTCCTAGCGCTTCATACAGTTCATCCAGAGGTTCAGCGGCTATCATCTCATGCTACAAAAATAATTCTTCATGAAAACAAGCAGTACTATCTCAAAATCAGTAGAAAAAGTGTAAAACGTGTTTTATAAGTTTTGTAAAGAAACAAAGCCAACCCTTTTTATCAATTCTGTTAGGAAGCGTCTTCTGTATTTTAAAGAGGGGGGATTCTTGAGACAAATGGGATGTAAACATGTCTGCAAAAAAAGTTACTTTAATACGTTTTGTAAAGAAACAAAGCCAACCCTTTTTATCACTTCTGTTAGGAAGCGTCTTCTGTATTTTAAAGAGGGGGGATTCTTGAGACAAATGGGAAGCAAACATGTCTACAAAAAGTTACTTTAATTGTATTAATTGACTCATTCGTTTACTTTCACAGTAGCTTCTTTACCTTCTGAAGAATGTCCATTATGATGTCTGAAGGTTTTGAAGTTGTAAGTTCTTTGTCTAAAGACTTCAAAAACATATTGTGTTATTCATGGAACAAAAGAAGACCTAAAAAATCAATCGTAAGTAATGTTTAATACACTGGTGTTGCAAGTCAATGTGTTACTTACATCCCATGGAAATGTATTTAAAATACCCATAGCGAAGAAGTTCACTTGAAAGGAATGTATGACGTCTTTTCTAGTTTTGTGGCCCATTCCTTCCTCTTATATTGCTAATCTCTTTAAAACACCTAAATATGCTTGCTACTGATATTACTAGAGTACACGGAAGATGCATGTTCGAATTCCATGGTGAACTACTACTTCGTGTGTATCAGTCCAGATATTGTGTGTCTCGAGCGTCACCTGCCGGGTTGGTTGTGCAGCAGAATCACATGACCAGAAAGGCTCGCCCACGTGAATCTCAGCAAGTAGAGTTTTATGTGATTTTCTAAAAGTGTTTTTTTATGTAAGCCTATTAATGTTGAAGCATTTATTAGAAAGTGTTCTACATCTGGCATGATAATGATGATGATTAAGATGGGCATGCATGCAATTATCTGTTGCTGCCAAAACATTTTAGTGCTTGTGCATAATTGTAGCCTATAATACGTTATAAATATATTCTCTGACTGACCAGATGACAAAACCGAAATCCTGAGATCAGATAGGCTATTATTTTTTATTTTCTCCGTTGTTCATCAGTTTTTTTTACCCTATTAATCGGTGTTTTCGATTGGGGAAAAAAGGGCCACTGTTTAAAACTCAATAAAACTGTAAAATTAATTGTGTAAGCTGACATTGTTTCTTTCAAATTGCATATAGCCCTTTGGGAGTCTCGATCATTTCTCCAATGTATTTCCTCATTTTGCGGTCAGCTTGTGACACTTCGACACATCCTGGAGCCTTAATGTTTTAGTTTGGTTTTTGCAGTTAGACTAATGCATAGGCTTACTTTCAAAACAAACCTGCTGCTAATGTGCTGAAATTCTTGGTTGTACAGTTTAGATTAATAAGCAAATAAATTACACAGACATGTTAAAATGCTCGTCAGTTTCGCAAAGCAGCGCAATGACGTGCCACGCCCTTATGTCATCAGCTCCAAAATACCGGGTATTCCAGCACTCACACCACAAATACATCACCTATGATAGCAGCTCATCATTAGCCTACTAATTGCCTTATATGATCAATATATTTTACAACGTGTGACATTTTTCGATATCTTCATAAGCCTGTCAATTTACGTGTTTAATCATCTTGGAAACTGAAGCCAATTATTTTAATAAAGATTTAATAAGTAGATTAGCTATGGGCTACAAGCGTATAATTACATTAATTAGGATCTGCTCGCAACGTACACCAGCATTCATTGTGGTTAAAGTCGCTTGTTTTAATTAGTTACATGTATATTTATAGCGTATTACCAGGGTATGCCTAGAAATAGACTGCAACTCCACATGCCTCTTTTGCGATTGGTCGAAGTAGAGCAGGCAAAGAATTGCAATTGGGCGGAATAAAGATTGGTCATCTGAAGATCTGAACACTCCTAGTTCGAAGTGGTCATAAGAAGCCCTCCACACAACGTAACTTTCTCCAGACACTTCATTTCACTTCATTGTGGGTCTCAAAGGAAGTCAAAATGGACGTGAGTAATCTTAGAACGCATCGTCGCTTCATTATTCCTATTTATATAGGCCTATATTTTGTCAAATTGTCTGTATTTGTTTATAGGCAAGAGAGCATGTCAGAATGCATTCTCCATATTATAAGTTAAATCAAATAATACAGTAGCCTACGTATGAACGTATGTAGCAGCTGAAGTCAGGTATATTGGTGTAGGCTATATTATGTATATTGGTGTTTGTTGTCTATGGTGCATAGTGTGTGAAGTTACGTGCATTGTTAATGGGTGTGAACAAATGCTCATAATTGTTTGTTCCATCATCAGATCCATTTCTATCACAATGTTGTACTGGTCAGTGACATTAAGTTTTTATTTAATAAATAATAGGAAATGCAATTCATAAAAGCTGACTTGCCTCAGTTGAATGAATAGAAAATTCTGTCATCATTTACTCAGCCTCAAGTTGTTTCAAACCTGTATGAGTTTCTTTCTTCTGCTGAACACAAAGGAAGATATTTTGAAGAATGTCGGTAACCACCAGACAGTAGGGAAAAAATACTAGGGAAGTCAATGGGGTACATCAACTGTCTGGTTACCGACAATCTTCAAAATATCTTCCTTTGTGTTCAGCAGAAGAAAGAAATTCATACAGGGTTTTTTTTTGGGGGGGGGGGGGGGATTTAGTGTCATTAGTGTCATTGAAATTAGTTTTATATGTAAGCCTTTTCATTGAGCAATGCAGCCATAATCAAATAATAGAAAGAGAATTTAGGACAGAGGTTTGCTTCATAGCCTTAGGCTATTGGGTTTGCAATGTAGTCTGTAACCCTTCGGCATTTTAGGGTAATTCATCATACCTTAACATGTTCAATCCTCTGAAGCGAGACTGGCCAATTCAAACCCAACTATGGTCTGAAACCATACAGACCCAGGGACATTGAAAAGGAGACCCTTTAGCTCACGTTCACTCTTAGCTCAGAGAAAGTAGTGTGACTCAGCCATTCTTTGCAATGCTAAGACTGAGCATTCCAGCATGCCAGCTTCCCTTTTGCAGCTAAAGTAAGCAGTTTAGAAATTTGAGGAAGAAAGAGTGAGGCTTATCGCACTGCTCTGAGAGTGTCGTTCTGCAGTATAGCTTCTGTCTGAGAGCTGGTTTACAGTTACTCGCACCGACTAATGTGGAAAGAATTCACCTCTGTTACACATCTGTCCTTTCACATTCTCAGTCTAAGTGCCTTTTTCCCTTCTTTTCCTCCTCCTGTCTCTCTCTTGACCATCTTTCCTCTCCACTATTCAGCCAGCTACAGCTATAAAAATCTACTTTCCTTGGCAGCTGTTAATCACAATAGAGCCATTGTATAATTCAGCTTGTGATTTTGCAGCTGCTGACCCAACATGGCTTCTCAACTTACACCAGATCTGCACAGAGATGGCATGGCCACTAGTTTTTAAAGATTGAATGATTAAAGTCGTCATGAAACGCAAGTTGCAATAGTCTTTTCTTCCCTATTGTGACGTATACGGCTTCTTGAACAAGAACAAATTAAAGAAGTAAGAATTGACCATTTTAATTTCAGGGTAACTTTAAGATCTAGCTCTTCTTGTATCCGTCTTGTAGCACAGAGGTTTTTCCAATAGAGCAACCATGCCACATCTGCAGTTTTTTGAAAGTTCAAGTCTGGCTCTTTGCCTTTTACCATTGGACCCGACTTTTCCTATCAACGCATTGGAAAATTTGACTGCATTGCTTTTGTGAGGCTGATTCTGTGCACTCCATCATTACAGCTGCAGTCTCTCTTTGGTCTCTAGGGAAAACCAGGCACCGTGCCCAGCTGTACAAGTCAAATTTAAGTGGATACACATGTTCTGCTATACTAATAGTGTATATCCCAAATAAAACAGTCTGTGAGATATACAAAAATCAAATTACTCTTAGAATAAAGAGTAACATGAGCTCTCACTCTGTCTAACAGGGTGTACTTGTGCAGAATATGTCCTTCAAGGTGGGACAGACTTTGACAATTACAGGAGTCCCCAAGGCCGATTCTACAAAGTAAGCCTCCCCAAAGTAACTTTCGAATTTAGGATGTTAACAGCAACAGGAGTTATGTCTCTCATTTGTTCTATTGCAGTTTTTCCATTAACATTGGTCACAGCGCCGAGGACATCGCTCTACACATTAACCCTCGTTTTGATGCCCATGGTGACCAGCGCACTATAGTGTGCAATTCATTACAGGGTGGCAGCTGGTGCGAGGAGCTAAGAGAGAGCAACTTTCCATTTAATCTGAATGAGGATTTCCAGGCAAGACACAAGACTTTCATATATATCTTAATGAAACTGCTGTTTGAGTATAAACATAAAGATAATGATAATAAATGAGCTGTGGATGAAATGTAATGGCCCCTTATATTGAGCAATTTTAAAGAGGATCTATGCTTTGTTAAATTTTCAACTTTCTTTAGTAGTGTCTACTGTTTCTGTTTGAGCATGGGGAAAAAAAGCACAATATTCCTCATTTAAATAATTCCTGATTGAAGGCTGGCCTGGTTGAATTGCGTTAGTAGTGTGTTCAAACTCGCCATTATGCTAAGGATCGTGACATTTCCATAACACACTTGAAGCGGTTGGCCAATCAGAGCACATTGTACTTTCAGAGAAAGTGCTTCATAGAGACAGGAACTAAACAGAACATTACTGACAGACTTGGAAGAGAGATGCTGCAACAATGTCAACATTTTGTTTTTGGGCTCTACTAGAATAGTTTTTTTTTTAAAAGGGCATTTGTAAAAGGGCATAATAGGTCCTCTTTAACAAGCATACTCTCTTGTTTCTTTTTTTTCCTTTAGATAAAAATCACATTCACCAATGAGGATTTCCTAATGACTTTTCCTGATGGCTCTCAAATGCACTTCCCTAACCGTCATGGTGCTGAGAAGTACAAGTACATGCACTTTGAAGGCGAGGCCAGGATCCATGGGGTTGAGATCAAGTAGATTACTCAAATTAAAAAGAAGGCTCACTGTTGTATCCTGAATGCTAAATGATTCTTTGCCTTATTTTGTCACTTATCCAGGTCTGTTATTCCACAGTTTTTACTTACTCAATATGAATCTCAATCACAATCTTATTATTTCTATGCCAGATCAGCATTCTAATTTTGCTGTGCCACTGTCTATCTTAACCACTAGAGGGAGCGCAACTACAGTAAATTGCCATGAGCTTTTAGAGGTTGGCCTACTTGTAAACCATTATCAGAGATTATCAACTGCTTTTATATGATACAGTATAATGTTCTTAAATCCAGTTTAACTAAAACAAATTCACAATCTATAGCTGTTGGCAGATATAAATAAAAATAATATCCTGTTTTCACCAATAAACTACGCCTCAGTCTTTTTGTCTGTTTAATGTGTTCAGGCAGAAATGTCTTTTCTTCACGTTGTTGTGTTTAAGTTTAGTTATGCTAAACAAGCAGATGGAGAAGATTGAGAGTGAATCAAAAGCTTTAATTCCATCACGTGCTTATCATACAAACAGAAATAGGAAGTCCCACTGCCAGTTTAAAATAAGTAATTCATGACATGAATTAAAAAATATTCAGTGCATGAGAAACTGTACAGCATAATTCAAGGGTTTTGTGAAGTTGGCATTTTTTTTCTGTGGTTAGAAACAACAGAATCATGGCATACAGTATTCTCTTAAAAAGTCTTCAGTTTAGTCATACTTGGATACGTCAAACTATTTATGGGGAATAGTAAAAAAGACATAAACTGTTGCTTATGTGAAGTGTTTATAAATCTATATTTCAATGGTAGTGATTAAGTATTGGTTTAAAATGTACCATTACTAACAGTTAGTGAAGTCATGAGTGCAATGTATTGTAAATGAGTATCATTATAACTTCCAATATGTTTTTCATAGAAGTTCAAATGTTTTTCCACCCGTGAAAGAATATCAATGATTTCCATAAGATTCAATTTTTTTTTTTTTTTAAATCATATATGCAAAGAAATTAACTTTGGCTTTGTCCTGGCTTGAGAAAGTAAAGAAAACCTGAACTGCAAAGGAGAGAAAAGTATCAATCGATCCATTTAATGGCAATGAAATTGTATACTTACTATCTCTTCAAAAGGAAGAAGCCAATGACCTGCATATTTCCTGTACTGCTAAAGAAATCTTTTAAAATATACACACTTCAGATCCCAGCTCTTGGCTTTGGGAGATGAATAGCCTTCACAGAATCTCTTATGTAAATTGGACATTTGTATGCCTCAAATTCAGTCTTGGCCAAGGGTAAACTGTTCAGTACCTTGATTTTAACCTTTGAAGTGTCAACTGGTATTTTTTCCCACTTGCATTTTAGACTGCATGAAACACACTGTAGGAAAGCTAAAGTAGTCACAGTTAAAAGCGTAGTTATAGTCAAGAAAATAAACACATGTACCACTATTATACAAGAATGTACATTATTTATTCAATGCCCCAATTATACAACTTGTGTCTTTTTTATTAATTAAAGAAACAGAAATTATAATGCACCCATTGTAAAAAAACTAGAAGTTGACCTAACTAGAAAAAATTATCTACCCATCACATTCAACTAGTTAATTCAACTAATTAACTCCAGTTAAAGTCTACTTAAATACTTTTGTTCATCTATTGAGTAACAGGTAGTCTTTTGAACTTACAAATTTAGCAACACAAGGGGCTACAATCATTGGTCTTTTATCTTAAAACTAACTACATGATATGAACATTAGTTGCCTCAAAACTAGGGGAAAACATTTTACCCTGATAGACAATTGAACACAAAAGTTGCAGTGATATACCTCAACACAACACAATCCACAAACATGGTGATGATCAACATGTTAATTCAGTAAAAATATGAACTATGAACCATATCAAAGCTACAAAAGCAGCAGGATAATGTAGCCAGTAAATGCAAAGCAATGATTATTTTAAAATAATAGTTACCACATATTTTTTTTCAAGCTGCAATGCATGCTGGGCACTGACACAACATTGTTGAACGTACAATTTTTGCTCAGATAACTCAATTTTGAAAGTTTGGACAACATTTGGACAAATATTTGAGAATAAGGTCAACAAAACAACTTTTGTTATTAGGCCTATTCTTGTTTAGTTCACTCTGATGAACTAACTCGATCATCACTACAAAATGATCTTTGTTCAAGCTTCTTTTTTTCACATTTGTTAGAAGAACATTTTGCAAGTTGGATTTTTTTTTATAGTGCAGGAGAGCAGCAACAAAAACGTTCACATGTAGCAAATATGAGGGAAAAAAACATACATAGGCCTACACACAAGTGGGTAAACATAAGCAAAATAAACAAACGAATGATTAAATACATAAAAAAATAAATTACATATAGGCCTAATTTAAAAAGCATGGTAATAATAAACTAATCGGTGGGCAAATGAGAGGCGAAAAACCAGAGGGCGACTGCCAATCGCCACAGGATAACGACTGTGACGTCAAATTGTAAAAAAAAAACAGCTGCTCTGCTATTTGTCCCATAATTCTGCGCGCGAACATTAAACGAACCAATGACCCTTTTTTAGAAATACGCGCAGATTAGTACAATTCAAATATAAACAGTAACGGCTCTGGCTGAAGTAACAGTAATAGGACAGCAATCTTACTAAAGAGGATGTTAATGAAAGGAAATATGAATACGATGGATGTTTATTGGCTGCTAAAAAAATGGAGAGAAGCAGAGGTGTTTCAGTGGTAAGAATTGTTCTAACTAATATTACACGGTGCGAGTTCGGACACTCGGGAGGTCGTGAGATATTGCACACGGTACGAGTCAGTTAGCAGTAGCAGTAACTTGATAGCTAATTGCGTCAAAGCAGCTGGTACACGGCACTACTGCTCTAAGCCTCGAGTACCTAAGTGCTTTATAAAACGGTTACAACACAATACAAATATTAAAGCCAACAAATATGTATCAATGCTATTTTCATGATGTAAAATCACTAAAAGTCTTCCTTCCACTGAAAAAAATAGTCCCTGACCCTGAACAGCAACATGAGTTACATTATTACACCATTAGATGACAGCAAAGACTGTTTTTATGAGCGAGTCAGTCAGTAGCGAAGACTTTTATATTGAAAGGACTAAAAACTTGTTTTGAAGATGGAGAAAGACGCTTTGACTAGCGCCGTGTCAAAAAAAGAAAGAAAAAAGACCAAGTTAGCGCTGTGTCAGGGCACGGGAAAACACATTAACGTTAGCAGCTAACTTACCTGTTAAAAAGACAAGATTTAGTAGTGGACATTCAAACGGATTTTTTTTATGAACATGGGACTGACCTGAAAGAAAATGCTATCTATAAATGCAGGTAATAGCTACACTCGCTCACTCGATCTCTCTCTCACACAATACTCTACTAACTTACTCTACAATACAGTAAGCCTCAATGAACTATATCAATGAGAACAAATGTTTACGTTGCTAAGAGTGGTTGCTAAGGTTGTTGTGTAGTGAGTGATACGTTCTTTGGTGATACACAGAACCATAGACATAATAAATACATAGACGCCCTATTGGCCGCTGGAGCGTACGTCAACGGCGCCGCCATGTTGGGGATGGCAACTTTCCCATACTTCTCACACCGGGAATTGAGAAAAATGCATGTTTTGTGCGCTGTTTGGGGCTGTACACATCGCCACACAATTGAAAACAGCTTTCGAGGAATTACCTTTCACAAGCAAGACTGAACGTTTGTTTTTGGTTGTATTTGGTCATGATTTAATTTAGTAATAGTAACGTTCAGAGGATACATTTAAAAATACTACTGTTATTGTGTCACGAAATGTAGTTTAAATAGTTTTTCAGTCGACAATGTAGTTGTTTAAAGCTCAAATATGTGGTTTGTTTATAAAGATAGCGCCTATTTAAAAATTTGATCTGACGTTTTCGGAGTTGTAAGATGCGCTCAGCGCTCGTCTACCCCGCCTGGAACAGCCGTACCTCGGCCAGTGCTTTTGAAGTTTTGCCGCTGACTCGGATGTCTGTAGTCTAGTGGTTAAACATGAGATATAATTCGTCTTGTGTATATCTAACGGGCGATCTTTGGTCTCATTAATCTATAAATGGTTCCCTGGTAAATCGTTTTGGCTGAGGGCAAAGTGAAGTTTCATAACTTTATATTTAGGCTATTTTAACGTTGTATCCTGCTGTATGTTTGACTGAAGCTACTTACTGATCAATAAAACTGAAATTGAACAAAAAGAGTTAAATATTAAAGTCACTATTTAACTTATTTTTTATTGTGTATATTCTGTAATTGATATTTCTTATTCTATTGCTATTATTATAGTATTATTAATAAACTATGCTATTATCAATATTTTTATGATTGTATTATTGTACTTATGATATTATATAATTATACTAATCATTACTATTTTATTTGCTGTATACTATTTGTTTATTTTATTGACTAAACTATTTACTATTACTTCTCACTTTATGTTATATTTACTATTTGCATTGCACTGTAGTTGTACCATAACGTATTATTATAAAGGATCCATCAGTTATCTTTGTTATTGCTAAAATCTGGTCAGTCACAGAAAATGCTTTTTCCACAATAAGAAAACTTAAATTATATCTCAGTATGGGGGTCTTCACCATTCTTATCCAAGAATAAAAAGCCAGATACATGACAAGCCTGAGCTTAATTGACCATTCTTTATTAAAAAAAAATATTTTAAAAGTCTAACTATCGAGATTTTAAATAACTAGAGATGGAACTTTTTGTACACCACATACAAACCACTGAAATCGGTTGATAAATGTAAAAACAGTTTGTTTTTATCCAGGAAAAACGCAGCTCCCCCGTTTACTTACATTTGTTCACATCGCAGTCTTGCCCTCCGCAAAATGGCGGACCCGTTGACGTATCGCAGGGCGTCTATGTATTTATTATGTCTATGCACAGAACCGCTGGGTGAAGCTGTCATAGCTGTTTTTTATCGTGAATAAAACACAGCTATTGACCAATCAGAAGCAAGAACTGGAACTGATAACCGTTTTATAAAATGGGTTAATTATGACTAATTCTAGCGGTTAATGTTAAAGGTGCTCTAAGCGATGTCATGTGTTTTTTAGGCCAAAACATTTTTTGTCACATACAGCAAACATCTCCTCACTATCCGCTGGCTGCCTGTCCCCTGAACACACTGTAAAGAAACGCGATCTCTGTAGACAGCCCATGCTTCACAAACAGCACCAAAAACAAACTGCAGCGACCCGCTCCCCAAAACATAACAAACTGTTCCAGCCAATGACCGACAAGAAGGGTTTGGGGGTTAGTGTGCGGATGAGGAGGAGGGAGGGTCTAGCTAG